TATTTATGCGCAGGATCTTTCGTTGTCAGGAGACAATAGGAGCCATGCCGCTGTTTTACTTGTTCTTGTTCCTGTTCTTTTCCACAGTTTCGGGTAGGTTTATGTGTCACACCATCACTAAAATGCCTCGTGTTTGTCGACTGATACAAGAGATCTATGCGAGCCTGGCATTGAGGTCTGAGTTCGTGATTATTGCTGATCGCTGCATAAGCTATATTACAGCTACGCGCGGCGGTGGTATCCAGGAGTTACCCATCTTATTGGTCCAATTCAAGCAGGGTGATCGTGGAATTGCTGGCCACTGTGCACACTCAAGATTTAAGTTGGTGCATTCAAGATATTCTTGGACGGACTTTGTGTCTTTCCCTGGGATAAGTCCCATCTCCAGTTTGGCTAGTTTTGTACACCAATGTATGCGGAGTTGGAAGATTGTTTCTTGCCTGTCTGTAACCCAGTAATGAAGCAGACACGGGGACTTGAAGGGTGACACTTTTCTAAGGGAATAGATCCTCTCATACTAGGCTCACCTCAGAGAGGTGTACATCACCAGGGCAGTTGTGTTGCCCAGGATACTGTGTATGTTCCTAGGCATTATCGTCATCATTGATTCTATATATGAGTGAGTGAATATGGTTTTACGCCGCTTTTAGCAATATTGAAGCAATATCACGGACACCAGAAATGGTCTTCACACAGTGTACCCATTTGGAGAATCGAACCCGGGCTTCGAGTTAACGCTTTAACCACTAGGCTACTCCACCGCCGCGCGCTATATCTGAGGTCAGTTCGGTAATCACAAAGTACGTTTTCTTGCTTACTTTTCTAACATGTCCAACAAATTGTTTAACACAAGTCACAGTCAACCTAGTAGGACCATCGTTAACATCAACAATCATGTTGGTTTTACTAATCTCGTTACGTATTGTTTCAGGGGATAATGAAGACACAGACATCATTGATCTCTCCGGCCTCGTAAACTGCAACGATCCTTCATCTATACTTACACTGATTCAGAAGTGTATGGATGTGTATAATGTGTCTCTCAAAATGCCAGACGTCAGTGCGTTCAACACTACGTCCGGACCATCTTCTGAATCCATTAATGACGTCTTGAATCCCTTCGATTTAACTTCCGCGTCTAAGGTTTGTAGGTATGTATGGACAATGTATGAAGCACGATAAAGTGTTTATCTACGACTTCATCAGCGGCTACTTCTACTAAGGCAGATGGTGACGACGAATATCGTTATACAGTCCGTTTGTTTCCAAATCTATCTGGCTATTTTTATACCCTAGTCTTGAAAAATGTTGTTAAAGAAACTACCAAGTTATTAAGTTTTTCAAGTTATCCTTACGATACGATACAGAACTTAAGAACCTTAATGGGGGCAGTGTTTGCAATACTTTAATTTGCCAGTTGGCCATCAGGGCCTGCTGCCGCCTGCAGGCTTCAAAATCTACAGGCCCTGAATGAAATCCGCAGGCCCATTTCTTATAGTCAAACCTCAAAAAAATAAAATAGACTACATTGTACTCAGTTTCACAGTGTTTCTACAAAATCAATTAGTGAAGCCTATTGCACACAGAAAAGTTTTTATTTGTTAAAGACTGGTGTTGACATTCCTACACGCAAAAGGCTGAAATACCAGGAAGTGAAACTAAGTTATCGTAACATGATGGATCATGGATTCCTGAACGTTAATAAAGAAACAAATATTGGAAAGATTCCAGTCGAAAAAAAACCCCTGACAGATAATTTACTAAGGCTGCTAGGGCCTGCAAATATTTGAAACTCCCGTCCCGATATAATAACAGCTGGCGCTTGGCCTGCGGGCCTGCGGTTATTTCGAACGCTGCATGGAGGCATGGAGGTGACATCAGCAATCATGTGAACACCTGATCAGCACTAAGGCTTTAGATTCTCAGTACAAACGAACGAAACAATGGGAGAAGCATATCCGAGTTCGGAATCTTGAAAAGGGGCATATACGGGCAATTCCGAATAAAATAAAAACATATATTATTGATGCACAGAGATAAGTAAACTGGAAAGTCATTGAAAGGGAAGATTGGGGCGAGATAAAATTCATGACTCTATTGTGCAATTTTATAAATTGTTTTCAAATGAAAATTTAAGGGTCTCTGGTATTTTTCTGAATTGTCGAAGTTCATATATTTTAAGTGTGAAGCCCATTTCTGGTGTCCCCAGCCGTGATGTTGCTGGAATATTGCTAAAAGCGGCGTAAAACCAAACTCAGTCAGTCAGTCAGTCAGTCATACATTTTAAACTAACGAAAGCTGTTTAATGGTTGGAAAGCATCCAGTGGACTGAAACAACTTCGACACGGTCGTGCTTGGCACAAATGGTTCTGAGTGAATTCACTATGTTGAATGGGCCATATTTTGAATATTTAATCGCTAATTATAATAGAAAACTGTTACTAGGGCTGTGGCAAATAAATTGTATTGCAATATAATATCATATTACGATTTAGGTACACGTATTGCGATATATTGGGAACTTAAGTGTTTGCCAGTGAGTGACACTAATTGTGCATGTCAATCCTATTTTCTACATTGTAAGTTCCTAAACATATATGTTAAGGTTCTGATAACATCAATCTCAACATTAGGTTGCTTAGTCATGGATTCTGTTTACCTTTTTATACAATTTATAGCATTACATTATGCCGTTTTGCCATTGAATAACGAAGGAAAACAGTTGTTCTGAAAGAAAGAAAGTGTAGATTTTAATTTAGACCATAAAGATAATCAGAAAAAACTCCATGTATGTTCTTTCCCCAATATACCGGTGTAGCAGCCCAGAATAACCCCCCACCAGATTATACCCCGGGGTAAACTATAGTCAAACGGCCAGCGGGAACGTGACAACAGGACTTTAAAGGCGGCTCTGAGTAAACTCGTCAATTTATATTTACAGTGCAGTTGGTCAGTCAATGCAATGGCTGATGTACCCTGCCAGCTTCAGCTTGAAAACTCACACTGATTATGCTTTGTATCTGGGAAATGTATCGGACCATTTCAATGTTGTAACCAGTGTTTAATTGTGTGAGAAGTACAATAAAATTATAGTAGTATCCTTAATCACTTGTTTTCTGTAGGGGTATAATCTGGGCTAGGGGGGTATACTATGGCCTAGTTCAGTATATACCCCGGGGTATAATCTAGGCTAGCCGGGTATAGTCTGGGACAGGGGTATACTCTGGCCTGTTACACCGGTTCTCAGAAACAATATTACCATACGTACCGTTTTAAAAGCGTTTTGCCATATGCCGGTAATACCGTGGAGTCCCAGCTAATACGATTATGTTTCACTACAATATCATTTCAGATCATCGATATACTAAAGCGACTGTATGGTGAAATATTTTCCATTAATAGAATTTGTGGGTTTGAATTGGTCTTTAGCAACCCATAGTTTTGGTAAGTTGTCCTAAGAGGCAACTAACGGAATCGGTGGTCAGGATCGCTGACGTGGATGACACAATCCATCGTATCCAAATTTCGTAGATCGATACCCATGCTGTTACATCTGGATTGTGTGGTCCAGATTCGATTATGTACAGACCGGCACCATATATCTGGTGTATTGCCGAGTACCGTATGAAACAACTAACCACCCAATCATATCATTACAAATGCATATTTCAGGGATATTGACAGCTATGTGAAAGCGACAGTGTGTAGCAATCGTGTCTCCAAAAAAGTGTATACCGCCTTCTCCCTTCCTGAAGGACATGTTTCCATCCGCAGACAAAATACGAAAGACACAGGAGTATTCTTGCGCTAACTTGGGACAGTATGTATGATTTTATAAATATACAGTTAGTAAGGCCATTACAGTAGGTACGGCTAACGGCGGGAGATCAACAATACTTCAATATAGAATATATTTACTTTGACTTGGTTCTGTAGCATGCACTTTCGCTTCCCTGGAGGAAAAAATATTGAAATGTGTCTAAAATGTTATCTAATGAGCATACATGTGTGAAGCCTATTTGTGGTCCTTACCCATATTGTTCTCATCTTGACAAGACATAATTATAAATGTCAGAACAGATAACTATGAAGTTGACTTATTAGTACTGCCCTGTATTACTGCGTTGCATAACTATGCTGAATTTGACTGATTGTTGCTAAAGAGGTCAACCAAACCTGTCTCAAAGACATTTTACCGAAAATCGTCGACTGTGCCAACGTCACCAACCAGATCAACATCAGCGATCCACTCAGCATATACACACCACTGATAAATCAGCAAGTGTTCTGCGCGTAAGTTACTGTACTGTCCCAAAACATCTGTACTTCAGATTACACAGGTATGGGTGTGCGGTTTGGCGGGCATTCTCAGAGACGGCCTGTCGTTGAGGAAAACCTAATATCCCGGCGTATCCATTTTCGTGGGAGGAAAGCCCGACTAGAAAGGCTTCAAACGTTTACAATTCTGTTGCAACCCACGGGCACAGCTAAGGTGTTGACAAACAAGAAAACGAACAGGAAAACTTAGATTTATATCACAGTCATAGGTTTTTGGCGTGAGCAATGGACTTATTGATTGATGACTGAAACTTGATATTATAAGTTGTTCACTGGTCACGACGGGGACATGGGTTGATGTACCCTCTATGTTTGTTTATGATGTTACATAAACCCAAGGGCCACGAGGGACCAGTCAACAACGTAGCAGACTCTTGAGAAACGGAAGCACACTATTGAGAAAGGGGTGGGGTGTGTGTGTGCACACTTTATCTTCACCCGTTTTCACGAGAGTTTAAATGGACATCTAAAAACTTCAGGACAAAAGAGGCGCACCTGAACACACCTCCTCTCTCTCTTTCTTACCCCTCGATCCCCACCGACCTGTGAAGATATATCAACAGAAAACTTTTTAAGACCTTGGAATGAACAGTTTGCATGTTTTTGTTAAAAGCTTTTTGAGCACATACCTGCTTGAATGTGGGCGTTAAAGACGTCATAATGTTGTTGATGATTGTGATTGTGGATCACCCACATTACCTCCTTCAGCCGCCACCAGTATTGACTGTTCCACCGATCAAACCGTCAGAAAGGAATACAGACTGATGACAGCTTTTCTGACCTGACATTAATACACACATATATAGTGGCAATAGGTAATCAACCTTTTATTCACATTAAGATTCCAATTTGATGTTCAGGTATTATAACTCTGTTATATGTAGATGATGGCCGAAAAAATGCATGTCATAACTAATTACGGATGATGTTCTAATTACGACATTACTGAATATGATGGTCGTATTCCTTATGCCAGGAATACTTGGGAATGGTAAATATCTTAAGAACCTGTTCATAAATATAAGTATGCCATTCTAAATAACATATAACACTGTTGTGGAGAAAAGGATGCAAACAACCAACAGTCATTTAATCAGGTTTATGGCAATGTGAATTGCAGTAATGTTTTTCAACACCAAACCCTTTTATCTATTTGAGACACATATACACACAAGTTGTATAATTTAAAGAACAGATATTTTATAACAGGAATACTCACATACAAGTTGTCTTGTGGTCAATATCTGTAATGTTGAGGTTAATATAATCGCTGGTTGTTAAGTAGCTGAAGGTAGAGCTGCAATCCGCTAGTTTGGACGTCATTTCAAACATGCAGGTTATGTTGAATTCTTCAGAAACAAATGCTTAGTTAAATACTGAACAGCAAAAAATTCCCTTTGGTGTAAAGGGAACAATAGCTATGAAAATTAAATGAACGGATCATTTAAAATTAGTGATTACACCAGGTGTTCGCGAAAACAGTAAAAGTGTCCTGCCCTACCGTTAGCAAGAACCATTTACAACATTTGTCTAAAACGTAGTTTGTGCCTGACGCCGCAGAGCAGTACGCCTGTCATGACAACCAAGGGTTACAAGGGCAGTGCCAAAAATGTATTATTTCAGTGACTGTAGTGAAAAGTACCATTTATCTGAGCATAATAGGCAGAAGCCAAATGGTTCTGTATTTAGGACTGAAGTTACATACTATCCCCCAAAAAGAAACGCATAGACGTTTTGTATTTTTTTAAATCTATCAATTACCTATTGTGTTCAAACAATCGTCAAAACATGTAACGAAAGTGGTGATAATATGATTTTTCATAATTGCACATGATAAAAATTGACTTTACCTGAAAATGTTGATTTTGATGAGATTTCTTACAATGATTAAAAACGCATATCCACAATGCAACAGCAAAGAGCATGCACTGTCTCGCTATAAAAATCCAGATTACTTCGGAAATCGGCATTCGTTTTGAAGGAGTTTCAAGGTCAAATCACTAGGCCACGTCTTGACGCTGCGACACGGAACATCACCATTGAAAGAATGCACTCTGGAGATTACCAATCTTCTGTTGCCAGGCGTCTGAATGTTAGTCAGAGCACGATATCACGGCTTGCAGCTCGTTACAACCAAACAGGTATAACAAATGACTCCGTACAGGCAGACATCGAGTCACCAGTGCAGCCCAAGATCGGTACATCCGGGGTACTACATTTGCGTGATCGTACTGCCACGGGTGAAACCACAGCAACCAGGGTGCCTGGATTTCGGTGGATATCCGGTCAAACGGTACAGAACAGGTTGAGAGAGATTGGACTGAAAGCCTGGAGACCCGACGTCGGGACCGTGCTACGTCGTCACCATCGTGCTCAACCTCTCCGTTATATAAAATTATCCACTTGGTTGTATAGACAATTCCTTCTTCTGAACTGATGTAAACATTCATGCTCTAAAGACTATTTGTGGACGAGTTATACATGTTTTAAATACAACATTTTCGCAACAGATTTCTGGCCTATGCATTTCTTTTTTGGGTTAGTATATCTTGTAACCTCTTATCTAGAAGACTTACTCCAGAAGTCAACTTTCTGTGCATGTCCAGCAATGTTCACGCTTTTGTGTATATCCGCTATTTTACTTCAAGATATGTGCCTGTATTTTTTCTTCGTGAAAATGCCCTTGCATATGATTGTTCCACTGGTGGAACAGTATACGTTCACGTTTCGCTGGTCACTGTGGTCGACATGCTTGACAGTGATCCATAAATAGAAAACGTCAGTGCAAAAGAATATCCAGTCTTGAAACAAGTGCTAAAGTATACTCTTGAGATTTCGTAAGATTATGGAAAGGGCATTGAAACTTATCCTATATGGGTTCGGTGACTTCTATAAAAGCGATATATATTTTCTGAGATATATGCGTATATTTACAGTATATAACATCGACATCTCTCTAATAAGGCGACATTAATGAATTTCTTTGGTCTTGTAGCTGCTGATAGGAAAGTACAATTCCTAATTTTGATTGTTCAAATTACGAAAACGTACCAAATAGAAATCTTACATCCACATTTTTCATAAATAATTCACTAAGATGTTTCATTTAACGTCGTTTTTATATACTTGATCTGGTTCATGGTCCATGGGTCTATTGCCTACTTGATTGTCTTACTTCCTTGAACTGTCGATGCTTTGTGACACCTGTGATATTCCCTCGTGTAATTTTCTATATTCTGTTCCAATTGGAAATGAAACCAATATTTATAATAAAGCATGCGGAAAAAATTATTTAAATTAAATCCGTCGAAGTGGTACATAAATATATACTCTATACTCACTGCCCAAGTTGGCGCAGAGATTGTCTTGCCACTTCTTATTCAGCTCTGAAGGTAGCATCTGGGTCTGGTTAATACATTTAGAGAGTATGTTGTTCACACGCACTCGCGCTTTCTGGTAAGTGTCAGGATTCCTAGAACAAGGTTTGTTAAATGACAGTGCTGTACCAAGGTCAAGGTTGTTTTGCAACAACGTTATGAAATACTCTATATGATAATGCAGCATTCCAGAAACACAGCCCCAACACAACCATGCAGTTGGTCGAGGAGGATAACTTTGCAATACTACTTTTTAACATTGAGCAATATTGCAATCTTAACATCACATCTCACTTCTTTCTACCGCTCAACAATGATCTCAGGTCATCCCATTTAGGGTCAGAGCGACCTTTCGTCAACAGTCGTCTGGCTACTGTGTATCGGCTTACATGGTGACCCAAGCCATGCGCCGCTGATGAGGTCATCGTCAGGTGGGATCTGGGAATTCATTGTGTAACGTACGGTTCAGCCACTAGAGAACTTTTTAAAAGTCTATACGTTCGTAGTTTATTTCCATTCAACTGTCCACGATCATTCCATAATTCTCTAAACCATTCTTGTTCGTCAACAGATTGAATCCACTCACAAGATAATTTAACATCAAGCCCTGTCATGTTATAGATGTCATGAACTGGATGCTGTAATTTAGAAAGTGTGCCATAGACAGAATTACTCCAAGAGCTGTTAAACTGTCGAGACCATTGCATAATGACACTTGACAATCTAGAGTCTGCCATACACTTCAGTTTACGCCAACACCTAAGTATTTCCATTTTTTGCTTACAGAAAGGACTGCTCCACCCCATCTCTCCTCTGACTACTAAATTAGGTGTTTTACAACCGACTCCCAAGAAAAATCTGCAGGCATGGTTTTGAACTGCGTTAATGCAACTAAACTGTTTTGTGACCCATATGGCAGCGCCATAGGTCAATATAGGCTGAACTAAATTATTATACAGCGTATTATAAACATTGTAAGTCATGCCACCTACTGACCTAAATTTGCAAATAATTACGCCAAGGGCATGACTGGCCGATTTTGCTATCTCTTTAGCTGTAAAGTTTAAATCGAGATTTTCCTGTAGCCAAATTCCAAAATACTTATAGAACAGAACAAGGTTTGTTAAATGACAGTGCTGTACCAAGGACAAGGTTGTTTTGCAACAACGTTATGAAATACTCTATATGATAATGCAGCATTCCAGAAACACAGCCCCAACACAACCATGCAGTTGGTCGAGGAGGATAACTTTGCAATACTACTTTTTAACATTGAGCAATATTGCAATCTTAACATCACATCTCACTTCTTTCTACCGCTCAACAATGATCTCAGGTCATCCCATTTAGGGTCAGAGCGACCTTTCGTCAACAGTCGTCTGGCTACTGTTTATCGGCTTACATGGTGACCCAAGCCATGCGCCGCTGATGAGGTCATCGTCAGGTGGGATCTGGGAATTCATTGTGTAACGTACGGTTCAGCCACTACAGAACTTTTTAAAAGTCTATACGTTCGTAGTTTATTTCCATTCAACTGTCCACGATCATTCCATAATTCTCTAAACCATTCTTGTTCGTCAACAGATTGAATCCACTCACAAGATAATTTAACATCAAGCCCTGTCATGTTATAGATGTCATGAACTGGATGCTGTAATTTAGAAAGTGTGCCATAGACAGAATTACTCCAAGAGCTGTTAAACTGTCGAGACCATTGCATAATGACACTTGACAATCTAGAGTCTGCCATACACTTCAGTTTACGCCAACACCTAAGTATTTCCATTTTTTGCTTACAGAAAGGACTGCTCCACCCCATCTCTCCTCTGACTACTAAATTAGGTGTTTTACAACCGACTCCCAAGAAAAATCTGCAGGCATGGTTTTGAACTGCGTTAATGCAACTAAACTGTTTTGTGACCCATATGGCAGCGCCATAGGTCAATATAGGCTGAACTAAATTATTATACAGCGTATTATAAACATTGTAAGTCATGCCACCTACTGACCTAAATTTGCAAATAATTACGCCAAGGGCATGACTGGCCGATTTTGCTATCTCTTTAGCTGTAAAGTTTAAATCGAGATTTTCCTGTAGCCAAATTCCAAAATACTTATAGAACAGAACAAGGTTTGTTAAATGACAGTGCTGTACCAAGGACAAGGTTGTTTTGCAACAACGTTATGAAATACTCTATATGATAATGCAGCATTCCAGAAACACAGCCCCAACACAACCATGCAGTTGGTCGAGGAGGATAACTTTGCAATACTACTTTTTAACATTGAGCAATATTGCAATCTTAACATCACATCTCACTTCTTTCTACCGCTCAACAATGATCTCAGGTCATCCCATTTAGGGTCAGAGCGACCTTTCGTCAACAGTCGTCTGGCTACTGTTTATCGGCTTACATGGTGACCCAAGCCATGCGCCGCTGATGAGGTCATCGTCAGGTGGGATCTGGGAATTCATTGTGTAACGTACGGTTCAGCCACTACAGAACTTTTTAAAAGTCTATACTTTCGTAGTTTATTTCCATTCAACTGTCCACGATCATTCCATAATTCTCTAAACCATTCTTGTTCGTCAACAGATTGAATCCACTCACAAGATAATTTAACATCAAGCCCTGTCATGTTATAGATGTCATGAACTGGATGCTGTAATTTAGAAAGTGTGCCATAGACAGAATTACTCCAAGAGCTGTTAAACTGTCGAGACCATTGCATAATGACACTTGACAATCTAGAGTCTGCCATACACTTCAGTTTACGCCAACACCTAAGTATTTCCATTTTTGCTTACAGAAAGGACTGCTCCACCCCATCTCTCCTCTGACTACTAAATTAGGTGTTTTACAACCGACTCCCAAGAAAAATCTGCAGGCATGGTTTTGAACTGCGTTAATGCAACTAAACTGTTTTGTGACCCATATGGCAGCGCCATAGGTCAATATAGGCTGAACTAAATTATTATACAGCGTATTATAAACATTGTAAGTCATGCCACCTACTGACCTAAATTTGCAAATAATTACTCCAAGGGCATGACTGGCCGATTTTGCTATCTCTTTAGCTGTAAAGTTTAAATCGAGATTTTCCTGTAGCCAAATTCCAAGATACTTATAGGCAGAGTTATATTCCAAAACATTAAAACCAATATTGAATGTAAAACTTGACCTGGCAATAGAAGAGGGACGATAGTGAACAACTTTAGTTTTCTGAATATGTACCATAATACGCCACCATGAGCACCAATCAGACACAACATCTAACATTCTCTGTAGTGACAACTCATCCGGGGCCATCAAAGCAATATCGTCAGCATAAAGGAGAAGACCCAGCATTACTCCATCGATGTCAATACCACATCCTAAGCTTTTAATTTCAGCAGCAAGATCGTTAATATACACTGAGAATAACGTCGGAGATATGTGCACCCTTGGCGGACTCCAGATTGAATTTCAAAAGCATGTGTGTATTCGTTATTAACTAGAACACTTCCAGAAGTGTTATCATACATAGCCTGAACTGCATGTAGAAACTTCCCATTACTTCCCAAATGAAGTAGTTTAAACCATAAACATTGCCTGTTAACTTTATCAAAGGCCTTCATGGCATCAATAAAATAAACGAAGGTAGACTGCTTATTACTATTCCTATTTTTAAGGACTGAATACAAGCTGTAGATATGTTCTTGCGTCCCTCGACCCGAACGGAAGCCATTTTGTTCTTCCATTAAGAAACTATTCCTTTCCAACCAACTAACAAGTCTAACGTTCAGAATGTCCGAATAGATCTTACATGGGACAGACAACAAGGAAATACCCCGGTATCCAAGTGGATCACGTGGATCAGAATCAGGTTTCTTGATTGGACTAATAAAGCTATGACGCCAAATGTCGGGGACAGTGTTAAACTCGAAACAAAAAACTAAAATTTTATGCAGGATTTTAATACATGATTTATTTTTTTAATGCCTCTGCTGGTAAACAGTCTGGACCTGCTGCCTTTCCACGCCTAGCACGTGCAACCGCATGTTCCACCTCACTGAGGAGAATGGGCAAATCCAGGTCACTAGTGTCAACGTGTGGGCGGGTCACATGACCCTTGTCTATTTCACTGTTGACATGTTGTAGGTGAGCGTTGTTAAAAGAAGAAATAATCAGCATCTGAGAAAAGAAGAGAAAAGTCATCCTGCCATCTACCAAGAACAGTTGCTCTATCCGTGTACACCTCGCCATCACTCACTACCTGCCAAGGGATACTATTAAGTCTACCCGTGAAGGTGCGGGTTAGAATGAACCTTCAGTAACCCATGCTTGTCGTAAAAGGCGACTAACAGGATAGGGTGGTCAGGCTCGCTGACTTGGTTGACACATGTCATTGGTTCCCAATTGCGCAGATCGATGTTCATGCTGTTGATCACTGGATTGTCAGGTCCAGACACGATTACTTACAAACCGCCGCCATGTAGCTGGAATATTGCTGAGTGCGGCGTAAAACTAAACTCACTCACTCACTATTAAGTCTATCACTAGAAATGCCTATTCTACCAAAAGTCCTCCAGAAAATTCGAGAGTCCCTATCTGCATGTTTATCTAGCAACCGTTGTTGTTCCTCTAGCTAAAACAGAACCTTAGCCCTTCTTAACTGCTTATCAAAGATTTCCCTTTCAGATACAAATACATGTTTAAGACCTTTCCTCTTAACAGAAGGTTTGCAGCCCAGCCACGCCCTTTCTGAGACCTTATATTCCCTTCTTAACTGCTTATCAACGATTTTCCTTTCAGATACAAATACATGTTTAAGACCTTTCCTCTTAACAGAAGGTTTGCAGCCCAGCCACGCCCTTTCTGAGACCTTGACCTCATCCCATTGAAGTTGTAGTTCTAAAGACCAATTAGGCTTATACATGGATTTACAATTGCGTGAATTATTACTCTTAGGCTTACCTACTGCAACTTTGTCTAATTCTGTGTATATAAAGCTTAGAAATTCTGAATAAACTGCTTTAACATCATGCTGAGCGTTAAGTTGTGATTCAAGTTTAATAATAACCTCATCACCCTAAAGAAAAGATGCTGTAACCTTACTACCAACATATCGTTTACACTCAAATCTACCGCTGTCGCACTCACTGCCACTACCTATATCATCATCATTATTCACATATTTACCCACAGTTCCGAACATAAGATAGAGTGGTCGGGAACACATCTTGGCATAATAATACCGTTGATGACTGAGGACATGGTAATCACATTAAAGGTTTTAAAATAATTAATATGCTCATATGCCGTTATCACGTAATCTACTACCAAGGCGCCATTCTTAATGAAAGTAAAGTCTTGAGAACCCAGGCGTCCATTCAACATGCACATATTACCTTCAATCAGAAAGTCGATACATAGTCCTCCGTGTGCATTAACTGTCTGGTCAATCACCTCTCTGTCGGGTATCTTCTCCACACCTTGAAAAAAGTCACACTCGTCTCCAACGCGCGCATTTAGATCACCACATATGCACAACACACCATCGATTTGGTATGTGTATAAATTCTCTAAAACACGTTGAAAAAAAATTCTTCATCGTATATACGTGATGAATAAGCAGGGGGCAGGTAGCAAACACACAACACAATACTAAAATCATTCCGCACTTTGATGATAACTTAGACCATAGCTGATCGTCGTCATCGTTATCTAAAAGAACAATGTTAAAATCTCGGAGAAATGTATCTTTAAGAAGGCTCCTACACCTCCAGAACCTCGTTTAGCTAGGTGATGTATCTTACGTCGGTTACTACCAAACCATCTGTAACCAGGGAGAGACAATGACGAGTTCCTCTGTAGGAACGTCTCACATACACCTACAACATCATAATTCAGATTCAATAAAACAGTTTCTCTGAATTCGCTGTTATCTCTGTCCCTCTGAGCCCAACCGCCAACATTCCAGAATCCCAGCCGCAAAATGTCCTAGTCTTTAGGTTTTGCTGGTACCATTCGGTTTTCATGGAATTTGAAAGCTTGGGATTTCCCAAGCTCATTGAGAATCGTCTGCATGTTGGCTCTTGCTGCGAGTTCTTGTTGAGCCAGCGTGGCGTCGATATAAACATTGGAGAGCTTTTTACTTTGTTTCAGGTTCCTTTTGTTAGATAGCAGTTTCTTCTTTTGTTCTACCGTCTCTAGCGTTATCATGACTGGTTCTGGTTTGTTATCTTGACGGGTTTTCCTTACCGCATGGACAGCGCGTACGTCGCTCAACTTGAGGCCGTCTCTGAGGACTTGGTTTACACGGTTGCAGAGCACATTCTCATCGTCTCGTTCCCGTTTGGATACGGGGAGATTGTACATGACCACACCACATTTCACATTGTCTCCACGGGATTTAACCATGTCAGTCGACAGTTTCTCAAGTTTTGTCATGCAGTCTGATAACTGACCGACAGCTTCTCCGTACTTCTCTCGTTCAACAAATAATCCGTGCTCAGCCTCTGAAATTTTACTTTTAGTGAATCAGTTTGGGTTTCTAGGTCTTCTTTCAGTCTCGAAGGTTCTTCTTTCAATGACTGTGTTAAATTTCGAGTCACCCGTAGTTCAAGATCAACTAACTGACCAGCAAAAGTTTTCTTCATTTCTTCTTTCATATCTTTTATATCCTTTAGAATTTCAACATTACTTACCTGGTCGGAGTTTGAAGTTTTCTCCATGCATCCTGTACCATTATTGTCTGTTTTATGTCTTTTAGATAAAGGAGCACTTACAGCTGTGCTGTTGAGTTAGGACGGCGTCAGTGTATCCACTGGCCTCCATGAGGGTGTCACACAGTTTCACTGGTGAGATTCACATAACGGTACACAACGGAAGTTTTAATGGATAAAGTGTCACAAAATGTCAGTTAGAACGGTAAAGAGGCTTATATCAATGATTATTTGACACTTTTTGTATATTCCGATTGGTTCTATCGCCGATGTTAACAGATTTCTTTCGTTATCTTCTCAGAGCTCGTTCATGCACGTCTACACCATACAGGGGCGGAAATACCAGTCAGATACAGAATGAAGTGGAATGCCATCGATTCCGAAGCACTCACTGAGAGCAAGTCATCGTTACAATTAGAGTCTATAGTAGCATTTCAAATATTAAATGTATCGTTTTTCCTTCTTTATCCTTATCAAACTCTATCCACCGTCACTGGTAGGACAAGAATACATTTTGTTATGATTATAAGTAGTATTGTAGGTCAGGTCCATACTTACCTACACATATCAGCTAAATATGCCGGGGTTATTACATTCGATATATACGAAGCATCTGACGAGTTGACAAGTTCCTGAATGGAAGCCACTTTGAGGGGGATATTGTACGCATCAAGACACTTCTGTGAAGCTACGAGCATAGACTGTGGATCAGTGCAGTTGACTTGCCGGTAGAGAGCGGTCACATTCAACGTCCCATCATTACCTGGAATTCAATGAGATCACTAAACACGTATGAACTGGTATGTATAATGAAGCAAGAGTTCAACTGTTCTCCATAAGCATAAACTGTCTTCGTTTGTAACCGAAAAATAGGTTTACATTAACAGATAAGCTTTCACAGAACGAAATAGATGAATTAGATAAATAGATGAATTAGTTCGACAGATTTGCAAACTGGAATCATAGTTTGCAATTGTGCCGGATGTCGTGGAGACACCATCAAGTGGGCGAGTGAGTGGTTATTGCTTAATGGCTCATCAGCAGTTTTGCGACTATTTGTGGTAGTGAGTGAGTGAGTTAATATTTAACGTCACATCGGCAAAATTTCAGCCATATCGTGACGAGAACATGTGATATTGAAATGAAATATTTGTATATTATAAAATACCTGCAGACGAAGGACAGTAAAACAACTAGAATATCACAGATATGGATGTAAAACTAGTAATTAAGTCTAAAACGTTATAACTATAGGAGAAAACAATACAGTATAAAAATGGACTATAAATCGCCAATAACTGAAGGTAGATCACTATTTGTGGTAGATACAATCCAGACAAACAATGTTTAGTTGGGTTCAAGTTTCCAGTAACGAAACCTGGGAAAATATTTCATTTTACAAACGCTTCCACATATGAAAGGTTTCGGATTCGTGAATCATTCATTCACACGGAATCTAAATTCCAACGGGCCCACAACTTCCACAAATTCAACACGCAATTAGGTCGTGAGATATCATTATTAACTATGCCAATTAAAGTTGGATACCTTCTGTTGTTTAAAGGTAGCTTGCAAAACACATGGTCCAAAAGTTAGCTTGACGGACTGTAAGTAAATACGACAGCATGTAAAAATGCCTACCTGAAACCAACGAAAACAACACCAACAGGTACAAAAGCCCCATTGTCCCAATCATTTCTGACAAAATTCTTCTGCATAATTACAGTGCTGATTTATATACTGGGTTTGGTACACTCCCACATTGTTATCTGTGCAGATTGTAACATCTGACTGATTACACAAAACCAAAAAAGATAACGCTGTTGCGAAATATTCTTGAAATTATTCTTTACAGAGCACGCGGATGGCAATTCCCAGATTACCTATTTTGACCCGTGCTGTATGTTGTTGAATGTATCTTCGACGCACGCACAAACTAGATATCGGTACAGATATGAAGAATAACAGACGTAAATGAACCATCTTTGGTCAGTAAGCTATGCCTGAACAATGTTCCTAATTTCTGGAATGAGGCAAAAACAAAAGTAAAATCTGGTACGTCTTATGTTATTTATGACATCACATTGAAAGCCATATTGAATTTGGCGGTTCCTTTTAATAATATATGGGCAATAATTATTTATTTGAATGCTTTTTCACAATTAACATACGAAAACAAATAAAACTTCTCAAGTCTTATTTTTTATTCTTCATCTGACCTTTGTGTAACATTCATTCAGACTGTTCCGGTCTAGGGCAACGTGTTAGTCACATGCACTTAGATTCATTCGGGGAGGAAATAATTGTCTTGATTGCACAGAAATGGAAATATGCTCAACAAAGGTAGGAACTGGACAACCACATAAATCTGAGGTGGGAGGGATGGGGGGTAAATGTTTTTCGCTCCTTGTTTGGCCAATAATTTGTAAGCAGCGTGAACATGGTACTGACGACCGATAGTCACATGCGGTCACATGCAGCGGGTCACGTAATCATCTAAGTGATCGCACGTGCACTGGAATGCAATCACGCAGACATTGCCAAGAGGGAAACGCACCAACAAGTGCAAGTTTTTATTATCAAAAGCCTACCATGAGTAGGCTCGATGCTGGACTGTCAGTTGCAGCAGTTGCACTAACTCCTGGGAACCATTGCAGATCGACCAAGCCCTTTGTCATTGCATGTGACGTCACACCAAGATGGCGTACATATCAAGTCACGTCATCTCCGCAACAGATTTGCGACTTCCACTTGCAGCCAGTTGTTCAGATGTAGAGTAAGATTGGCATTTATATTTGATCCGCCAATTAAGGAGGTCAGGTGTAGAGTGTCCGCACAGACAATCAGGAATCAACAAGGTCGCAATGTGTAGCAACGTGGGTCATGCACACAATCACATGTGTAATTTTATTACCTATCGGGGTTCATAAATATCGGGGTTCATATTTTTCATACGTTGCCCTAGGTCAAACTATCACTTTGTCATGGTGACGTGACGTCATGAACAATGCTATGACGTCACGTTTCTTCTGTGAAGTTGCGTTCTACATGCGGCGACAGCGGGTAGCCAGCGGGTAACCAGCCCATGTTTGAAAGTAGAGTTGGGTTTACTTTCCTCAATTTGACGACTTCGGTAATAAACAGAATATTATATTCCTGCCCATATACTATGTTTACGACACTGGTGCCGAAATATCGGTATGTCCCTCGCTTCTCGCTCGGGAAATACCAACATTTAGGCACTTGTGTTGTAAACATAGTATGACATGGACACTCATATAATATCCTCTATATATACTCTCCCGAAAAGTGAGTGAGTGAGTTAATATTTAACGTCACATCGGCAATATTTCAGCCATATCGTGACGAGAACATTTGATATTGAAATGAAGTATACGTATATTATAAAAAACCTGCCCACGAAGGACAGTAAAACAACTAGAATATCACAGATATGTATGTAAAACTAGTAATTAAATCTAAAACGTTTTAACTATAGGGGAAAAACAATACAGTATAAAAATGGGCTATAAATCGCCAATAACTGAAGGTAGATCACCATACCAGGGACCATGGGGACTTACAATACTTTTGCTACCTGCATGGACCCTAGATGGATTTACACCATCCCCAGCCATTGGCGACAGAAGAGAAATCTAGCCATAAATTAAAAGCACACATATTTTACGATTAAAACCGTGGCAAGCCTAAATTTACTTTGAAAGTTTTTGGGACTTACGTACCCTCTCAGGAGGACAATAATTTTACGCTACTTCAACCCCTCTTGAGGATACAGCAACTAACAATCTTAGTTGAAAATCTGAACTACAGATTATAAAACCTCATCTATTTACAAAACATATATCAAAATTCATTTAACAAGTCTATCTCTTTAAAAAAAATCAATGATTAAATGATAATTAACATTACTTAAAAGGTCCTTTACTGTTTTGACAGTAAAATATCTATCCCTTATGGTGGAGAATTCAAGACAGTCAAGCAGGACATGCTTGACCGTGGTTCTCTCATCACAAGGGATACAAAACGGAGGATCCTCACCTTTCAATAGGTACTCATGAGTATATCTTGTGTGGCCAATACGACATCGTCGTATGATGACCTCCTCAAATCTGGACTGACAACCCAAGTAGGTGTAACCAATGTAGGGTTTTATTGCATGTAATTTATTAATACCTACTTGGGTGTCCAACGTCTTCTGCATCAGATCACGGATGTAAGTTCTAATGCTAGCTTTGTAATCAGAGTATGGAATTAAAAGTGGTGTCACAGATTCGTTGAGTGCTGCCTTGGCAGCAAGATCGGCCATTGTGTTCCCAGAAATGCCAACGTGGCTGGGTAACCAACAAAAGACGATGTCGCATTGGCCAGTAGCAAGATCATTATATAATTCGATTATTTCAATTAAAAGTGGATGTTTGCAAGAGAGATTTTTAATAGCCTGAAGGCAAGAAAGAGAATCTGAATAGATTATATATTGTTTACGTTTGGGATGTCTTTGAATATATTTAAGAGCTGTTAAGATGGCGTTTGCTTCTGCTGTAAATATAGAGCTGTTATCCGGTATTCTAGAAGATATTGTTCTGGATCCAATGACAGTGGCACATGCCACTGCGCCACCGTCCTTGGACCCATCTGTAAAGAAGGATTTGCATGTATTATATTTGATTTTTAATTGATTATATTCTTGTTTATACTGTAATTCAATAGTTTCAGATTTCTTAAACTTTGTCAGAGTTAGGTCAACTTCAGGCCCTCACCAGTTGCCAAGGAGGAGAAGAAAGAAGACGGAAGGAGATATATTTTCCAGCTCAATGCCGGCAGCAGAAAGAAATGGTTTAATTCTTAAACCAAGAGGCGGAACAAGAGAAGGCTTTTGTTGTACAACCCCTCATAAGAAGGATTGAAAACACAGTTAAATGCAGGATTAGACTCGTTAGAATAGAGTTTTGTTATATACTGTAAAGATGGGTAAGGGATGGCTCATCAGCCTCAACATAGAGACTATCAATAGAGAGGTTCTAAAAAGACCCAAGACAAAGTCTTAGGCCTTGGTGGTGGACCGAATCTAAGAGTTTTAGGTTGCTTTTACAGGCTCCACCATATACGATGGAGCCATAATCAAGCTTCGAGCGGAATAGTGATCTGTAAAGGTGTAGGAGCGTAGCTTGATCCCCTCCCCACTTTGAGTTGGAAACAACCTTTAACAAATCGAGTGCCTTCAGGCATTTAGCTTTAAGGGATTTAATATGTGGCAGGAATGTTAAATGGGAATCGAAAATTAGGCCCAAGAATTTGGCCTCCTTTACAACTTTGATGGGAGTGCCATTTAAAGAGTGTTCTGGGTCCTTATGAGGCTTATATTTACGGCAGAAATGTATACAATTAGTTTTGGATTTAGAAAATGTAAAGCCGTTTTCAAGACACCATTTATTTATTTTATTTAAACACAACTGCAGTTGCCGTTCAATAGTATGCATATTTTTACCGCGACAAGAAATATTAAAATCATCCACAAAAAGTGATCCATCAATTGAATCGTTTAAAACCTTGGATAAACTGTTAATCTTAATGCTAAATAATGTGACAGACAAAATACTTCCTTGTGGAACACCCTGATCCTGATTATAATGGTCAGACAGGGTAGAACCCACTCGGACTTGAAATTGCCTGTCTTTTAAAAATTGTGATATAAAAAGAGGCAAACGGCCTCTCAAACCAAAATCATGTAAATCCTTTAAAATGCCATGCTTCCAGGTCGTATCATAAGCTTTCTCAAGATCAAAGAAAATTGATACAGCATGTTGTTTATTGACTATAGCATTTTTAACAAAGGATTCTAAACGTACCAAATGATCAGTGGTACTACGGTTTTTCATGAAACCACATTGAATATTTGTTATAAGGTTATTGGTTTCAAGATACCAAGTTAATCTATTATTCACCATACGTTCCATGGTTTTACAAACACAACTCGTTAAAGAGATTGGTCTGTAATTAGACGGATCAGTATGATCCCGGCCAGGTTTTGGAATGGGGACTACAATGGCATTACGCCAGGAAGTCGGGAAATTCCCTGAGGTCCATATTGTATCAAAAATATTTAGCAGCGTTTCCAGACATGATTCTGGCAAAATGCTTCAAGAGCTGATAATGGATATCATCAGCCCCTGTTGCCGTATCATGAGCTTGCTCAAGGGCAGTGTGGAGCTCATGTAATGAAAATAATTCGTTATAGTCTTCGCCATTATCCGACGTAAAATTAAGTCGCTTCTTCTCCTGTTGTTTCTGGTATGTTTGAAATTCGGGGACATAATTGACGAAGAAGAATGTTTGGCGAGAGTGTCACCAAGCTTATTGGCAATATCAGCCTTATCCGTCAATAAATTGTCACCATCCTTCAAATGGTGGACAGTAGATTTTGAGCCTTTGCCTTTTATTCGTTGAATCATGTTCCACACCTTGACATCGGTGTGCGGGAATTAATTTTGAAACATAGTTTCGCCAAGATTGACGCTTATTTTGTTTAAATGCACGTCGAGCCTTGGCATTTAAAATTTTAACATTATCTAAATAATGGACTGTAGGATGTCGGCGAAAATATTTTTCTGCCCTTTTTCCTATTCTTTCTGGCCTGTTTACAGTCATTATTAAACCATGGTTTACGAATATGTGGAATTGCAGAGGACTTAGGTATAGTTTCATCAGCAATAG